ACACTATGCTGTTAGCACAATCGATGCTACCTAACTTAAATGTAGAGATTTGTTCGCATTGATGACATCACCACAAGACCTGTTACATGACTGGGCAATGGTCAAGTGGCTTGTAAACTGGTGTAGTTTAAACATAAACATACTGTTTATGCTTATTCTGGCAAGGTATAAAGGATCTTCAGTAGTTTAATATGCTTTTACAGTAGATGAGATGCAGCACTGTCATTTTAACTTTACTAATGTCGATGTAGAAATAAAACCTATAATTCTTTAAAATTGGATTTTCTTAACCTAAGTACTGCATTTAAATGCAGTGTCTGTTTTCAGAAAACATTTTTTGAAATAAAACTCTAGTATACAGTGTATGAGGATAAAAAATTGAAAACCAAATTAAAGCTATTACTATACAGCTAATGTAGACATAGTTAAGGAAATGCACACTAATGAAAAAAATCTCTCAAACAAAAATATACAGAAAACCTAAAAATTTCTCACCAGTTATCCTACATTTTTCTGTCATCCTTAGAAAGTTTCTCACTTGACTATTCTTGAAATGAGTTCTGATATGTTTCCTATTTTATGTATCACATTTATTTATGGTTATGTGGTAGCACCAGCTGAAAATGTTAAGACCAAATGGAAGAAGTGCAGGAGAGATTTCAAACTGACTGTGTTAATCACATGCTGTAAAAGTTCTAGCTTTCCAAGAAAAAGCAATTCCAACTTCCAAAACCTTGCTATTATTTTCATAAAACAAAAAATACAAGGAAAAAAAATGAAAAATCTTAACGTCTCAGTGTACTGTTTTTGAATAATGTTATCTATAATTATAAGACAGACAGTCCATTAAATAGAAAAAAGATTTGTTTTACATAAAGCAAGAGAGTACAAAAGCACAGCTTTTGTAATTTTGGTAATATTGCAGTTTTACAAACATATTGCATAGTATGTGTAAGAAAATAGTTCCCATCTTTTTTATATATTTATATACACAAGAAAATCATTAACATGAAGGTTACAAAACAAAAATGGTTAGCAGACCTTTACTGAGTACTGACTGAAACAATGTGACACTCAAACTTCGATCCAATTTACATATGCATTACAGTGAATCAGCTGATAACAATTCCATAGTCTAATGTTTTTTTTTTTTTTTTTATTTAGACAATGATTTAGAATCTAAAATAACCCATTAAAAATATATATGGTGTTAGTAACTGAATATCTTAAACATCCTTCATTAAATCCTCATAGACATTTATGGCTGTATCTTCAATCCAGACTTAATAGCCCTCTGCATCTAAAACGGATTAAAGTGAATTCTGTCATCCAGTGAGGTCACTGTTTTGCTTTCAAAACAGTATAACTTCAGTTGAAACAAGCAATGTCTTCTCACATTTTGGAATACATACTCTTGTTTTCTTAGGAACAGCAAAAGATCTTCATATGCATGAACAGTAATGTAATTGCACCACACTGACAAAAAATTTTAAAACTTGGGAAAAAAGTGAACAATCTACAGCTCAAAATGCTGCACAAATCTAAACTATGTTACAATTTCATGTTGTAATTACAACTTGTCATCTCTTCATTCCACCAGAATTAGTAGAAGCAGCAGTGTCATAGTGTTAGATATAATAGAAGTATCAGTCTTTGGTCTTATAACTTAACCAATGAATGAACTGCAATACAAAACCATACAGCTAACAGTGCTCAGAGGTTAGCTGATGCTTTTTTTTTTTTTTTTTTTTTTTTTTTTTAAACAAGAAAGAGACAGTATCCTGTAATGTAATGACATAGATAGTTTTACAGAAGATAATTCTATTGTATATATTAAATACATGTAGCTAATAAGGTCTTTTCATACATTTCATTGTTGTCATAAGGATAGCCCTGAAGAAGTCACATCTGCAATACTATTTTAGTGGTTTCCATATAAACATTTTAGTACAAAAAGAAGCTTTATTTGATACATGTATTCATATACTATAAAAAACATCAGATGAATATTTTAGCCTTTGCTTATTTTTGTTTTGGTTTGGTTTGTTATTTTTTTTTAAATTGTACTAGTATTAATGCTTAAAGATATCCTAAGGTCTTCAATCTTTCCCTACCGTTGTCACAACAGAGTGATTTGTTATTGGGAAACTCTTGCCTTAACCAGAGTAAGAAGTGACATCTCTTTTCTAAAATACACAATCAAAATATTCAGTCAGATAAGCACTGTACCTGGGGAAACATTAGCTTGGGCTTAATCTTGCCCTGAATGTTAGGCATTACAAATGGCCAACAAAGACTGAAATAACTTGGAGACCAGGACCAGGAAACTATGAGGAAGGTGACAGAAAAGGGATCTGAAAATTTCCTATGGCTTTGCACACAATGACCTCAGCATTATAAAACCAGCACTGAAATAGCACAGCTATGGCTCCATGATTTATTATGATATTTGTTCTGAGATCTTCTAGTTTCCTTCCACATGAAATGATACTGTGGGATTATGACATTTTTCTGATACTTTGGGGGTGCACTACAAGCAGAAGAGCTCTACTATTGAGGTTTTCGCTATTGCCAGCTCCAAGCACTCAAAACCACTCGGTCTGTTTCTTCTTCCACTCAGGAATGATGACACTGCTTACAGATTATTGGTAGTTTAATTTTTTAGTTCTCTAAATGCATTGAAATCACTTTTCCAATGCTCTCTGAAACCATGTGGGCTAGAAATATTTAAAGAATAAAAACTGAGATTTCTCCCTGCTTACAGTTTTCAATGGATTTAAAGTAAAGCATCAATATTATGAAACTCACCAGAATACTAAGACATCATGAGAATTCATTATGCTATCTCATAGGTTGCTGAAGCTCTCAAATACTCTCTACTTCAGACAGAAGGGACTTCAAGCAAGAAAAAACTGACAGTACAGAGCTATGTGGACTTACTAGCTTGGTTTTGTTGAATCCAATGTGTCATTCGCACTTCTACCTTGAGTTTTCTTCATACAAAGTGGTAAATTGTAACAGCTTTGCTGTTCAAATTAATATCACAACAAAAGAATAGGGTTTTTTTCCTACCTGCCCAATCCCACACAAGTTTGTGTAAAATTTTTAAATGTTGGGTCTTTCCATCCAGTGGGCAGAAAACTTTTTCATACGTATTACAGGTTAAGTAATGGCATAAGATAAAGAACAAACAAATAAGAAATTCTCAATGGAAAATTGATGACAAACTATCTGCAAGCCATTCTGCAGGTTTATTTGAGGAGAAAAAGAAATAATCTTAGTCTATTTTTGTGCAATTTGTATGAAGCCACAATTTAAGTCACCAAATAGCTTAGTCACTATAATCTGTTTGTTCATCTTTTAAGTAACCAGTGTACGTAGGTGTGCACAGATAATGAATACATATAGATGTGTCCTCATACAGACCTATATACTTTTCCTCCTGAAATGTTATTTATCCACATGACTTTCACAATACCATTCTATTACTTGTGTGCATAAGAAAGAGACATCTATTTGCCTACAGTTTTAAGGATACCGTGTGGCTACACTTTCTAACATTTTACTATCACCTTCTTTCTCATCTGTATCTATGTTTCTTAATAAAAATCCTCAGGCTTCTAATATATTTTCTTGCCAAGTGAAAGAATAAAATTTTCAAAGAAACAACAATTCAGCTGTTAACAGCCTTCTTTTGAAGAGATAAAATAATCAATTTAAAATCTTCATTTAACTGGTAGAAACAGCAAATATAGAATTCTTGCTATGGGGTGAAATTCACACCTCTGAAGAGGGCCAATGGAAAGGCAAGCACCAGTCAAGCCGTGGACACGTCTTGTGCTGGTCTTCTGCATAGGGGTGAATTTCATCTGAACTGAAAACAAAATCAACCTTATTAGGTGGCAATAAAGTATAAAGATAATCACAGTTTTAGCTTGCTCATTTTAATTTTTTTTCTCTAGGAAAAAAAAAAAAAAAGCATAGAAATACCCACCTTGCACTGTCTGCTCTGCCTTTAGAGTTACCTTGCAAAAGCTGCCATTGCATTGTTGATCTTACATTCAGAAGACTCTAAAGTTACATTCCAGGTGATGTAATTTAAGGGATAGAATTAAAAAGCACACTTACCTCATGTAATCAATCCATCTTCCACAATAGGAAACATTTTTATACTGTTTTACATTCCTGGGTTCTGCAAGTTTCAAGATACTCTTATTAATCAATGTTGTGATAAAGTTACTAGCATCATACCAAAGCATCTTATATAAGATTTCAATTACCAACCAAGCCAAACAAGTACGAACATTGATACAAGAAAGAAATCCCACATCAAACTTGTCAAAAAAGGAAGTCAGTATTGAGATCTGAGTGCAAATGAGGCTGCATAATTTAAACACAGACCTGATAAAGTCAATGTAATATCAATGTACTTTTTAATATTGAATGTCATTTTGTATGTGTTTTTATATATATTATTACTTTGAAAACCTTAGCAGCAGATGGTGAACAAAAGAGAATAATAAATGTGAATGTCATACCAGTTGTTAGTGCATTGCTTCTCAGCATTACACATTACATTAGTACTAATGTTTGCACTGTGTTGAAATGGCAGCAGTTAGACACAGCTAGAAAATGGACAAGATGTACCTTTGAAGATTTTCTCTTGTTTTTGCGTTTGCCAATTATAAATACCTTGTGAAGAGCAATACACTGATCAACAAACATATCATCATTATTTCCCTCTTTACCCTGTTGTTCTTTTCCAGAATTTGTATGTTCTGCTTAAAGTAATTGCTTCACATGCAGTAGCCACGAAAATAATATATAAGGCCATTCAGATCTGACAAACAAGAGCAGATGTTTTTTTTAACTTTGAAAGGTAATATTGCTGAGCACTTCCAAAATTTTCCTAGTGTACAAAACCCTAGACTTAGTAGACAAAGAGTAACAACACACTTTTAAAGAAACCAAACTCAGGGAGGGATTCTGTCTCTTTTTGTGTTAAAAACCATTTACTGAATTTAATTGTTTAGTAAAGCAAGCATCACACAATGCTTCAAAATTTTAAAATTCAGGGATAAAAGTTTACATCCAAAAAGATGAATGGAAAATTGTGCTTTCAGACAGTAAAGTTATTTATCACACAGGGGGAACCAATTCATCTCGCCATTAGATTCTGGGCAAATTTATGTACTGTATATATATATATGTGCAGTTCATATCCAGGTCCTGCAAAAATCTAAAACTATGTGCTTCACTTCATGTAGCAAAGGCACCTGTGTTATTCTCCCTTTTGGACAAAAGGTGACGTTATGTTCCAGGTTTCCTGATGAAGAATACATTGATTTCTGAATATCTCACTCCCATCTCTACGTTGAGTGGCAACACAAACCACAAGAGAAGGCAGCGCTGTATTCCTGCTTACACTGGAAGAAGTTGCTCTGCAGGCCATTTGAAGCGTCGAACTTGTCACAAGGGAAACCGAGCAGAACTGTGAAGCAGAGGGATAGTAACAAAAGGCTATTCTGGTGTGAGGATAAATCGGAGTCATTCTAGCTCCACAAGCAGATGTTGCTACTGGATTGACATGTGGAGCCTGCTCCTGCTGGGGACAGGTAAAGTTTACCATTGGGACAGATGCAGAGCTCATAGATAGTCTGGCGAGGAGCTGAAGAGCTGGGTGAGGAGGAGGAGGAGGAGGAGGAGGAAAAGGAACCCACTGGTAGATTTCCCAGGCGGATTGTATCTGCATTTAAAAATATCTACAAAAGGGAAAAAAAAAAAAAAGAGTAAGTAGTTATTTTTCAGCATTGTGACCTATTTTAAATAAGTGTTTTGAGGCAGTCATGAGTTTTTTAGAAATACATAAAAAAATCAGAAATATTTTATTAGCAGTATTAGCAAGATTATTATAAATATTAGAAATATATCTTAGAAAGAATTATTTTTAGAATAAAAAAGCTATCAACATGTCTTGGGTTTTACCCACTGGGGTTTATATCCATTAATACTCATTACTACAATATATACAAATACTTCACTCAACACGTTTATTCAGATACAATCAGTATCATACAAAAACATTTTGACAATATTCTTGAATAGGTTGAATTTTCACTTGTACATTTTGTTCATTCATGGCAGCAGCATATCCTTGCTCTGGCAGAATTTATATTTTAATAAGTGTGAAGTGATATTAAAGCACATTCCCCAGTGTGTTCCTGTAAGCAGCTGGAAATATGTGCTGAACTGTGCTAAATTGTAGGGGCTTAACAATAGCTACATCCAGACAATAATTAAATAAGGGTACAGAGTCATATGCACAAAATAAAGAGCTTAGTTGACCTAAATTAAGAGCAGAAAAGAGTTCAGGTTAAAGTCTTATTATGAAGGTCGTCAGACTATTCCCATTTGTTTCTGAACACTGAATGTGATTAAGAAATATTGTTTTATTTTAAAATCTCTTTACATTGGAAATAACATGAGTCAGTATGAAACCGTAGACATCAGTAATGTTCATGAATCTGTATTGAGTTCTGCAATATATACACTTATGTTACATTTTCAGGGTGTTGAATAAACAGTGTCACAAAATTAGGTAACTAAAGCAGGAGAACCCCATGTCTTCCACTGGAACAAGCAAGCAAGTCTCCAGTTGCTTAGAATTTATTTTTTATTTATGGAAGGAGTAAATGAGAGCCTAAGTAAGATCAGTCATTATCTCAGGCGCAGACTAGGAACTTCTAGAAAATAGGTAAACAAATCAAAATGCCTTTAAGCCCTGCAGAAAATGGTATAAAGCTTAGGAAAGGGTGAGTTCTTAAATACCTGCTAGTGTTTTTTTGTAAGGTATTGAAAATCAGCAAAGCCAGCTTGACACCATTACATCACAATGTTGGCAGTACATGTAAAAAACCTGGGGAGATATGGCATGTATTGCTTTTTTCTACAGGAGACAAGTATTATTTTATGATAAAATCAGCAGTATATGGCAGGAAAGCAGTGCAGAAGCACAACTAAGCCCCTGCTGGAGAGAAGTGAAGGAGAGCAGGCTGAGAAAAAATAAAGAAGTCTGGATAAAATCCTGTACAAGGACCGATGCACAGTCACATTACCATTCACAGCAGAAGCATTGTAAATGACTGGGATCATCAAAGGAAATACAGGCTGAAAGCAGCCCCAAACAATATAACCCCCCATCATTGTGAAGTCTTCAGTTCTCAGAGTAAGATACTGTCATTGGTGGGATTTTACACTAAAAGGGACAGAAAGGGAGAATCTCAGAGGCAGAGGCAACAACTCCATGGCACCATGCCTGTTTTAATTCACATCCTGCCGGGTAGAGGAATTCATTTCAAAACTAAAATGCAGCAAATTATTATCTTTGTTCTATAATTTATATGACAAAGGAATTATGTATTTACAGACACATACATGCATTTCTGCTTTATAAGTCCAGTATCATAGACCTGAAATAATTAGGAGTCAAAACCTCCACAGAAATAATTTAGATGGAAGAAACGTGGATGGTGTAAGGGAACAATTTGATAATGTGCTGTTAGAATTACAACTGAAAAAAAAGATTACACATATAAAAGCATTCAGCTCAGCTAGGAGTAACTATAGCAAGGATAATAAGAAAACAAAATAACAGATGGTGGGAAAAAATAATTTGATAGCAAACTAGAAGCTAGAAATTGGTAAAATGTAGGAAGGAAACAAAGGACATAATCACCAGTCAGTGGAGTGACAGGTAGTAAAAAGTACTCTTTCACTTCTCATATCAAGAATAAAAGAAAAGTTAACAAGTCTACTATTAATGTAGCAATGGTAGAGTTATCAATAGTATTGCATAAAAATCCAGTAGCATTCAACAGTGCAAGCTCTATGTAAGTCTATCTTTTATACCAAATAGTGCTCAGCATAGTTCTGTACTTGAAGATCAGGTATTGATGTCAGAACATGACTGTGATAAAATACTTTAAATTTCAACTGTAACTCAACAGGATATTAAACAGGAGCCAATAATGTCAAATACTTTTAATCAGCAACTCTTTATAACTTTTAATGAATAGATCTCAAAAAGAAGCTGATAGCCTTTTGGACTTTTAATACTGATTTTCAGTAAACCCTGATATACTTGGAATATCAAAGAAGATAAGAAAAATATCATTTCAATGCTTTTGTTTAAAAAAATGGAAGCAGGAGATATTAGAATATTATATATCTGATAATGAAAGACACTTCAGTGTAGAAGACATACATGTAAGAAAATTCAACAATGCAAGATTAGCTTTAACAGAGCATGTAACTGGATATTTTAACTGTTTAGCTGCAGTGGTGATGGGGAAGGATCATGAGAAATCTGTAAATCAAAATTAAATGGGCTCTAAAAGATATGTCTCGATTCAAACAAGAATTAACTCAGAAAAAGTCAGAGAGCATGTTTCTGAGATCAGACTAGATTAAAATCTCTTGAATTTTACTATCTTTTTTCTAGGAGCTCAATATTTTTATGTTTGTTTACATCAGGAGAGCTACGCTTCTGCAACCCCTCATTGCAGATGTTCTGTAATGTAGTCCTCTAAGACTTTAATTCAGTGGACCTTAGTTCAGTGTGCATTACAATACAATGTAGCTCCACGATTGTGCTTATTAAAATAGGTCCACTTTTTAAGCATATCTGTGCATGATTTTCGACTGGTGATTAGAAATTTCACACTGTGATGTAGATCAATACAGGTTTTTCTGGTGTCATAATCTTGAGCAGTAGCTATCAGGTCCTGTCCCAGCACTCATCCCAGAATATCTGGTGAGCAATGTGGATACCAGGTACAGTGTCTGAGAAAAACTGTAGTGGCTTCTTGTGAGGATGTATCTGCTGCAGTAAGTCTGACAAGCTCTGTGCCTTTGTGGAAAGCTGGGAAGGCTGGGCAATTTAAACAGACTCCTATAGCTAATCCCTGGGGAAGCCTGAGATGAAGAGGATTAATAAAGATGGTTTAAAGCCAACATTCAAATCTACTCTGTACTTATGCTGTCAAGGTTATGAATAAAAGACTAAATTTACAGATGCAACATTGCTATCTATTAGTTAAGCAGGGGTCCAAATATATCATTATAGTAGCCCAATACATAAGGAACTTCAGAGGAACATAGTCCATGTTTGAGGATATACTGTTTCCCTTCCTATCATCTACTAAAAACTGAAATTCATGTCAAAAAGTCCTCCAACATCAGTAAAACTTAAACTCCTTACTGTTTTATGCCTGATATTATGAGGTGTTTAAAGAGAAAGAAAGAAGCTGCAAGGCAAAAAAACGAACAGTATTATGTTCCCAGGGAACACTGTTGCTAGATGACAGTAGTTAATGGAAGTGCCTGTATACAGTCTTTTTCTAATCTTTTGTGCTGTGAAAGGTAGGAGATAAGCCATTTAATACTTCATACGCATCAAGGCCATGCAAGCTAGTCATGCTCTTTCTGAGAATCTCACATCTCAGCAGATAAATAGGGAAGGATAAAAACAAAACTTTTATCTGTTCTTGAAACATTGTAGGAAACTGACTGAGAGATTACAAAATGGAAAAGGCAGCAGCTACTCAGAGAAATGCTATTTCACAGAGAGCAGAGCACTGAGCAGCATAATTCACTCTAAATACTCAAGGCTTAGAAATCCTAGATGACTGCTTTGTTTTGTACATCTTAGTGCTGAGAAAAAAAAATATATATTTTTAAATATATAATATTTAAAAGTAGACCTGATTTCTGACTAATTAAAGTAGCAAACTGAATCAGCCTGTAGGGCATGTGATAGGAATGGACAAATTGTAGTCTTTTTACACATATTTTTTGTTAATGGAGATGTACAAGTCATCTGCTAAATAGACTGTGTTGTTAATCTGAACAGTGAGAGAGAAAGGGAGAGTAAAACAAGCCATCAAATATAGATTATCTACAAACTAAAGAACTAAATTAAAGGAGAGGACTTTCAGTGGCAAGATATAGGCATGAATTAAAAAATCAAATAATCCTACAAGCCATTTCATACAGAGATATTAACTTGCCATGTATAAAAGTTCTCCGCTGAGTCCTTGACTAAGTCCTCTCAAGAGAGGAGATCATAGGCTAAACTGACAAAGCCAAATGAAAGAGTTAGGATTTACAAACATTGAAGAATTATCTGTATTCATGTACAGTTTGATTAGACAGGTAATTCTACAGAGCTGCAAAGGCATATTTCAGGACTAATGTAGATAAGAAATGGCAGGAAACTGAAGGAAATTTAGAAGAAAAGAAAGCTGAAAGGCTGGTGTTCATCAATCAGTATGAGGAGATAGTGTAATGACATCTCACTAAATAAACCTTTTGGATTCCCTTAGGCTCTTCAGAATTAACCTGAATTATAACAATGCAAGATTTTGTCTAGTCTTTTTGCTCTTCTGAATATGCTATCGGAAGCATACATACAAAAAGGATCATATAGATTGGGTCACTACAATCAACTATATAATTTTCTTATGCCAGTATGTTTTAACATTTAAGGTGAAGATGAACTATAGGATACATTGCAGTACTTTACTTCATGTGGACCATTTGTTCTAACACTTATCTGTGGTTTTGACATTTATTTTAAAACTATTCACCCAAACTAGCTTTCATTAAATCTGAAAGATGTTTCTGAGAAAAAGAAAATAAAATCATAATGAAAATTAAAATGTTAACTTGATAGTGTATATACTCTAAAATCAAAACATATGCT